GTGTGGGTGTCTGTCTTTCTGTGTGTGTCTGTGTGTGTGTGTGTGGGTGGGTGGGTGTGTCTGTTTTCGCTGTCTGGTGATATATTTTTGTACTAAGCTGACCCGAACCTGCCCACTTCTTTCTTGCAACAGTGGCTCATGCTCACTCAGACTCCCACTCTCTGGCCAACTTCTTCCAGCACTAGCACTTCAGCCTCAAATCAGCACAAGGCGGAATGAATGCATGGCCTGGGGCAGACCCAGTATTGGTTGCTTTGACCCGGTCTGCCTGCGTTTACTTGCCTCCTCGTGTGGATGAGATTTCCTGATCTGCACGGCCAAGATTTTGTCATGGCCACATCGTGCCTTGGTCCTTGGAAGCTTCTGGAAACTTTGCTGAGCCTTTGGATTGTGTGTGATCTGTGGCTGTGGTTGACTCCTGAGAAATCTTTGACTCCCCGACTTCTGCGCCCGGGTTGGGCCTGTCTGTTGACTTTCCTAAGGCCTACTTTAACATCTAAGGGCCCTGGGGACTTCAATTCGACCGTTGAATCCAGCCAGGCCTACAAAGCTAAGGACATTCTGGCACCTCTTGGGAGGCTATAGGACCCACTTTTGACCCACAACTTCAAATTTTTGGCCAGACGCTAGGACCCTGAGGCTTGTTCTGTGCTGATTTGACATACGTTCCTCGCACCCTGCATAAATTTAATTTCACACACACACACACACACACACAAACACACACACACACACACACACACACACACACACACACACACACACACACACACACACACACATATGCATCCATGCATGCACACATGCACACACACAGAGGAGTAAACCACGACCAGTCCGATGGGCTGCCTCACCATCATGGCCCCAATATCTTCTGTTGCGTAATAGCAAGCTGCTTACGCAACAGTCAGGTCTGTGTGAAAGGGCCAGCGCGCAGATCAAGAAACAATACCGCCCTAGATATCTTCAATATCTACAGCCAGTATATCGTAGGCCATCACCTCACAGCACACGAAAAGAAAAAACGAAACGAGTGCATCTTCCCACAGAAAATGGACAGGTTCTTCCGTTTGCTATAAATAGTGACGAACGTATTTTGCCACATTTCGTGGGGCAGATGCACTCTTTTTTTTCCGCTTAAGGTGCCGTGCCGTGAGGCCCTTGATCCCGTGCAAGGGGGACCTTGGCCCCAGGGGGCCCTGGCAGAAGTTCCGGCTTGGAATGAGGGAAACAACAAGGGCAGACGTAAACCCTCCTCTTTATTTACGTTTCTGTTTTGCTTTTCTTTTTCTCTTTTCTTTTCAAATGGCCGAATGCATTGACATATTAGCATAGAACTAACCAACCCAAAAAAAAAAAAAAAAAAAAAAACAGGCCAGGCAATCCAATCTTCAATCACCCGATGTAAACCCTAAACCCTAAAAAAGGGAGCAAACACCAGGTCATGTCAGATTGGAGAGAGTACCTTTATTGGCCCTTCGGCTAGAATTCTTTTTTTTTCTTCTTCCTTTTTTTTTTTGTGGCTAGAATTGGATCCACTGTAGTATCTGATCTCATCAGTTTTCAAAACCAGCGGGCCCAGCTACCTTCTTCCCCCGAATACAACGTACGGCCATTATAGCTGTGTGTGTATTTAGTGTATCTTTCAGTCTAAATACAGCAATAATGACCGTACGTTGTACTCGGGGCTGAAGACGGTTAGCTGCTACACCCATGAACTGTTGAAATACAGACCCCTGAGATCAAATCCAGATGCTACCAGATGAACAGAATCAAATAATTCCGATCAGTTTTAAGCCACCAGTACCTCCAACCCTCACTTTCCCCGTGGCGGATTTGCAGCTTATTTTTTCGGCTCATTTTTTAGGCTCATTTTTTAGGCTCATTTTCTCGGCTCATTTTTTCGGCAGTGGCGCGGGCAGCCAAAAAGAGGTCCAGGAGGCAGAACCCCCGAAGAATGCGGTGGTAGGCAAATTGACCAAATTCGTCACGAATGTGAAAGGAACAGTGGTCGTTTAACACCTGATCACTGGTTAAAAAAAAAAAAAAAAAAAAAAAAAAAAAGAGGGATTTAGAAAAAAATAAAATAAAATAATTTGAATAAATAATTGAAAATAAATAAACCTACAAAGCTACCAAAATAGGAAACGAAACATGTCCTTCAGGAAATCCGTTATAATTCGGAACGATACATAGGAAGAAAGACTACCATGACCCAATGAAAATGAAAACAAAAGGCAAAAGGAAAAAAAGAACAGTAGCATAGCCCCTGTGCAGTTAAGGAAGAGACACACACAGATCGAGAAATAGTCCACACACACCACAACCCCTCCGGAGAAAAGGAACGTCAACCCTACCCCCCCCCCTCTCTTTCGTTACAAACGGGTAAAAAGGAAACAACAACTGCTACTATTTATCCATCGAGAAATGGTCCCCACTACCTGACTTCCTCAGGTTGCCTCGCCCTCATTTTGCCCTTCACGAGCGGATGTCAGAGGCTCTCTCTCTCTCTCTCTCTCTCTCTCTCTCTCTCTCTCTCTCTCTCTCTCTCTCTCTCTCTCTCTCTCTCTCTCTCTCTCTCTCNCTCTCTCTCACACACACACACACACACACACCTCCCACCCCCTCTCCGCTCCTTATGTTCGTTTCCTCTTCATCTTCCATACACAAAGCACAACTTCGACCATCGCCAGGATAAGCACTGTTGCAGGATCGGGGCGTGCTGCAGCACTCCCCCCCCTGTCAACTGAAGTATTTTTTTTTTTTTTTTTTTTTTCAACTGAAGTATTTACCCCTCCTCTCTTGCCAAGTGTTTTGTCCTCCCTAAATGTCTATGTGCTTGCCGGGTACAGGTGCACTCAAGGAATTCGCAAGACACGCATCCATCGTGTCCCCTATCTTCCTCCTGACATTTTTTTCCCTCCTTTTTTTTTTCAATTCACGGACGGTGTCATCAACCTAAACCCACCCAATTCACGCACTGCAAAGCCTGCTTCTTTTCGGATTCACGTAAATGGATCCTATGGATTTGTGGGTGTAATCCTCTAGCAAGTCCACTATGTATATTTAGGGCGGGAAAAATACGATCCTATCGAAGGGTCATGGAAGGGTAAGTTGACGGGTCCCTTGAGTGTGTTAAGTGGTTACTTGGCCCTCTGGTTCCGGGGGGGGTTCTTGGCCTCCTGTGTATCACAGGCTTATGCAAACCAACCACGACCGTCCGATCAACGACGATCAGCTCACCTCCTCTCTGTTATCAGTCTTACCCCTCCTCTCTGCCAGACATGCTTGCCACGCGTCAATACGAGATCATTCCCACCCTCGACTCTTCTTGCATTCTCTTCTCCCCCTTCTGACCCTCCTCCTCTCCTCCCTTCTAACCCTCCTCCTCTCCTCGCTTCTCCTCCTATCCTCCTCATCGCTTCTCATTACTCTTCCTCTGCCGCCTTCCCATCCCAGTCAGGCGAGACTGCCACCTGGCACCGTCGACATTTTTCCTCTACTATCCCCCCTGCTCTCGCGGCCGCGTCCCACTCCAGTCCCGATATGCCGTCCCGATGTGCCTCCTATGGCACACGGCGAACGCTTCTCCCGCTTCTTACCTCTCGCCCCCTATGCTTGGATCCCCACATGGCTTCCACGTGGCACAAACACGTCGTTCCATCCTCCCTCTCTTCCTTCTTCTTCTTCTTCTTCTTACTGTTATTATTATTATTATTATTATTATTGTTATTATTACGTATTATCTTATTATTATTATCATTATTTTACTGTTATTCTCGTTATTATTATTGTTATTTCATCACCACGGATCCTGGCGTGTCTGCCACGTGTCTACCACGTGTCTGGCACGTGGGACGGTCAGGCACTCACACGTTCATGCCTTCGTCTTCTTGCGCCTCAAGATACGGAGAGGCGGAGGAAAGATGATGGACATGGAGACTGCAAACGATGAGGAAGGTGTAGAGATAGAGGTGGAAAGGTGGGAGTAGAGGAGGGGGGGGGAAGGTGATGGAGATGGAGAAGGTGCAGGAGGAAAGGTGGGAGGAGGCGAAGGAGGAGGAAGAGGAGGAAGTGGAGGAGCAAAGGTGTGAGGAGGAGGAGGAGGAGGGTGCGTGGTTTGTAAGAATCTTACCTGCGTGGTGACGGCAACACAATACGGGCAGAACCAGCGGCGATGGCAATACCCGGGCCACTCCAGCTACGCCCACAGGCGGGACCACCACAGGTTCGAAATTCGAATTGGATGGGTGCGGAGTTGGCTGTGGGCCAGGCGGAGAAGAGGTCTGCCCCTGGATTACCCTGGACGCGAAGGTGGGTGCGGGGCAGGGAGAGAAGATGGCTGCCTGTAGAGGGGCAAGATGGCTCCCCAGTAGAGGGGCAGATGGCAAAAGAAGTACGCCTGCCACTGCATTCCTAGGGGGTCAGGCCCGTATCAAAAAGTAAGTTGCCCATGGCCCGGACAAGGGCATGTGCAGTAAGTGTAAAGAGCCATTTGGCCATGCCTGTGTTCTAGGGCTATCTGAGTAAAATACCCCAACTTTTAGGGGCATTCCAACAGTTGTCCCTATTTCTGAAAAAATGGGGTGATAAAAGAAGCCCAAGGTAGTACCCACCCCACAGATGGTCCCTATCTATTGGTTGGGAGCAGAGTGTGATGCTCAAAACCTCACGCCCTGCACTGCTTTCCTGGAGTTGACTCAAATGTGAAAAAAGGGCCTGGAAAGCGGCAAAGGGGGTGCGCCAAGGATTTATTGAAAATTGAGTGTGGAGACCCAAGACACAACCGAAATCTCCCGCGAGGTCCCAGATATGGAGCAACGAGCAAGGAGGGAAAGAAGGAAAAGAACCCCTATTAAGTCAGGGTCGAAAGGGAGCAGGAACGCAGGTGGGCTCTCGGTTTTGCAAGAGGGGTTCGGCAGTGTTGCTCGCAGAGCTCAAAATCCAAGTTGGAGGGTTGCAGTCTCACTGCTTTCACCTTGAAGTCCATTTCCTAACCGTTCCGTACGGCAGCAATCACTGTATAAAATCCGGGGCCACTGGGGAGCAATTGTCGGCCACGGGATGGGAAGCAAAACGGAATAGGGAGAGAAATTAGCATCTATAATCACAAAACCTGAATTGATGAATCCTGAATACCGTGTTTCTGACGGAAAATGATAAGGGCCGCTGATCTTGGCTACGGCTTCGCGTAAATCCCACTTGCAGACACATGTCCTATCCTCATTGTATGGGGAAGGTCGTGAGCGGGGATGTTAGAGAAGTCGGCGCCTTGATGATTCAGTCCACATGGCCGACACACATCCATCCACCATTCACAAAACAGTGTGATCAGGCCCCATTTTTGGGAATCGCCCTCGCAGAGAAAATCAGGCAATACGATGTGACTTTTATGCCCGACGCTCCTCTACAAAGGGGGATTACCAAGGAAACTAATGGATGATTTCAGCAAGAAGTTTTCAAAGAGACAATCACTAGTTTTTCAAAAGGACAAAATGGGATAAATTCCGAGAGGCAGCAACAAAGATAGCTACTTCATCCAGTCATTCACCAACAATCTAAACTAAAGATTCCATCACGATAAGAAAAAATCATTGAAGAAAAAAATATACGTATAAACATCCTATACGTTAATATCTGGTGGGCCTCATCCTTTCACAGTAACGAGAAGAGCAAAAATCTTCACGAGTTGAGCAGCTTCAAGGGGGTGCCCATTCCAAAAACCTTCGATCATTCGCAAATTTTACTTATACCCGCAGATAGGTCGTACTTCTAATCATGCGAGGGGGCATTCTTTCAAAAAGAACAGAGAACGACAACGGGGACGTTAGCTGACTGGAGTGCTTCATGTCCTTAGTCCGCGGAAGCACATTTAATCTACTAGTTACGATCCTTCTGCAAGTGGAAGATTGTAACGGGAGAGTGACCAGTTCCACTGATTAAGGGGGTAGAGGATATCCTCCAAAAAAGATCCTAACTACTTCGAGAAGATAAAAAAGAACCAGTAACCATTCATTCATCCATCATCTACACGTTCATACCTTCGTTCTGCAAAGAACTAGAAAGGAGAGAAAACACATCAGCAGCCGATAAAGACATTCATCCAACTGGCCAGCCTTCGCCGATGCTCTTGTTTTGAAGATCAACACCCAATAGAATCATGAAAACGAGAGAGCGGGGCAAGAGGCAGGACTTGACATTCAGTTACACACGTGCAATCACCGTGAGTCATGCACGCGCAATCACCATTCACTCATGCATGCATCCAAACTAAGAGAGAGAGAGAGAGAGAGAGAGAGAGAGAGAGAGAGAGAGAGAGAGAGAGAGAGAGAGAGAGAGAGAGAGAGAGAGAATGTACATTCATTTGTTTGAGAAGGGAAACTAGTGTCTCGCCATGCAACTTCACTCCAGATATTAGATGAGAAATCAGAAAAAGAAGAAACAAAACTTTCCACACTCGAGCTATGGCCCTAGACCAGCCAACCATCCGTCAACACGCTTCACGTCGCTTGAGTATTGACGAACCATGTCGCCACTTACTCACGCTAAACCACAGTGATCCTCACCCCGTCTACTCAACTACTACGCAGATTCGCCCAAATCCTACAGTCCGTAGCAGCGATCCAGCGTGCAATCCCGCAAAGTTGCATCCGACTTGTCACGACTTTTCGACTCGGTGATTACAGCCTCATCTAGCCACTACTCCAACGGAGTTGGCAAACACATTGCGAGAGAGAGAACAAAAACGACGCACTTGCAAAATTTATAGTTGTGAAAAAGACAAAAAAAAAGTGGTGATGAGGGAAAGAAGAGGGGAAGGAGGAGAGAAGGGGAAGCACGTGGGAGGGTTGTGTCGATCCAGTCATAACACTTTGTAGCCACCTTTCACACTGTCTGACTTCTACGATTACTTAGGGGATCGGTAAGTCTCTCTCTCGTATAAACGAAAACAAAAAAGGAGGTTACACAAAGTAGTATGAAGCAAAACCAAGATTCAACGGGATAAAGAAGAAAAAAAAAAGGCGCGAAGGGAGAAAGAAGAAGACAATTACAAGTTGTTGATGGTGGCGCAAGGAAATGGGTTGGGTGAGCGAGGAAACATTGCATGCCAGAGCATGGTGCAAAGAGATGTATTCGCATAAAAATAAAAATGCACCAAAACAGTTATGCGAAATGTTAGTGAAGTTGGACTTAATTCCTCAAGCTGAATAGCGAATGAAAATTACTCGCTCAAATTCCTACATCACTTCCTACTCTGTTATCCATCAACAAAATTTCACAAGGCTGACAAGGACGTCTCTGAAATTTACATGTATAAAGAAAAAAACATAGCAAAGTATCCCAGTCGACACCCATGATCTTTGAAATTTGAAACCTCAAAGAAAAGAAATTACGAACGTACTCGTTAAGGTGTGCGTAAATCCTAAGTGAAAATCACAACAAAGTACAAGGACAATTTCGAAAGTTGCAAAAATGAAAGGAAAGGATTAACCGACATATCTCATCTATGGAAGGTCATTTAAGACAAGCCATGTGGATTGCGAGGAGCTTGGAAAATCAAAATGACGACTCCATATCGATCGAGACAACCTGAACCCCGACATGACTGCTTGGCAGGAATGCGATATGGACCAGGTAGAGGAACAAAAACTGGATTAGATCGAATATGACCGTCGAAAAAACATCATAAAAAAGAGGAAAGGGACCAGGAACCCGTTCATGCACGTAAGCTCGCGCGTCACGTAAAGAAAAATAAAAAAATTACTATGTGATATTTCACTTCGCCATGACTTTTTTTTTTTTTTTATACAAAAGCTCATGACTTTACGTGGGGAACATCATGTGCTGGGAATCGGACCCAACATCCCATATGAAGATATGAAGAACATTTGAAGTACCAGGCCATTATTCAACTTCAACTAAGAAACCATTAAAGAAAAGCATGGAGAGAATCGTACGACTAACTTTATTGAGCAATCTCCTCATGGAGTAAATACTAGACCATTGAGGACTATAAGAAAATCACAAATCTTATGTATTAAAACAACAAGATAATGTCTGTGAAAAATTTGTAAAGTCCAGAACCTAACTTCCAGATACCACGAGGTTGCCCAAACCTACACTTACCTCAACCTTCCTGTCCTCACTACCAGGACCCTACCAGGCCTCACACTCCCAACTGTTAGGTTTATAAGGCGGCGCAACTCACCTTAGAACCCCCCCCATCCGCTAGGCTACAGGGTAGAGCGATCCACTCCGTCTCCGACCAGCATAGTCTTCATAACATTCCGAGATGGCCAGTATAATGCTTTCCTCCCTCGAGAATTCCTCAGATCTCTCTACCAAGCTTCATGCCCCTGCCACGCTAAGTTCCAGGTCAGCACAAGCAAGCCCTGACACAGGGCAACGTCGTTCTGGGCCTTCTGGCCTCGACCATTCATATGCCTAAGAGTGAGATGATATCAGCACAGCGTCCACCAAGCCACCAAGCACCACCGTAGTCACATATCCGGAATGTAGGCTTTGACCAACTTCAACACCCATGGTCACCCACCAATCCTCTATCCCTACTCCAACAATATTTACTACATCAGAGCCACCATCTCCACTGTTGATATACCCTATTCCAATCCTATTGGCTAGCCCCCTTCACCAGTAGGATGTGTGATCTTCTTCATACATACCCTTCTTAGCCAACAGGCACTCACCCCCACTTGTGTGACCCCAACAAAAGGAGGTAAGTTGGGTAAAACAACCTCCTCAAACCAAACCCTCGTGTGCTTTCGACTAACAAGTATAGACCAAGAACAATCAAGCACAACAACCCTGCATCCGTCATCGAAAGGAAAAAACTCTGGCTAATTTGGGTGAAGTTAGTTGGCAGTAGCCGGTACTCGGCGATATACTCGCCGACAATTGCATCCAGTACTCGACTCCTCTATCCAAATCCCTTCCATCCTTCCAAACACCGTCCTTGTAAAGAGTTTCAGGAAACCTATCTCAGCAAGGGGCAAACACCATCATCAACCTGAAATCCCTCGCCCCCACAAGGATTCCAGCCTCCATCCCCAAAGAGGCGAACCAACACTGCCCAATGCCAATCGCACTAGAGTTTGTGCTCATCAACCGGTATCCATCAAGCAGCCTAAACTACCCAATGCCAATCGCATGTGATGAAAACTCCCCTCAGCCGGTACCTGCCAGACGAGCTTGCTCCACTCCTCCTCTCTGTCCTCGCAGAGAATCATGCCCCTTGCCCCCGCCTCAAGCAGTCCCAAAAACTCAACAACACTCCACTTGATTGTCCCTATCAAAACCCACACTTGAAGCAAAACCAAAATAAAAGAGAAGAATTATCAATAATTACTTAATAATTATTCACCAAGAGAAAACTACGAGATTAAGATCAGAAAATTGCCTTTTGATCTCATTTATTTACCATGGCCTTAGGTCCCTACTGCGACTAATCTTTTAGTTTGTTATTGTGGACAATCAATGGCTAAACAGAAGAAGCAGCGCTCAAAATAGAAATTGCGTGAATGAATTGTATAAAGTTGTGATAGAGGAGTTGTTGAGGATATGATCCACTATCTCCTCTCTTGTGACAATGCCAAGGAATTTCGGCCCAAAATGACCGCCTTTTGGGAGACAATTGCCGACAAACCTTTCTTGGGGACCAAGTCCCACTTACATTGCTTCTTCATTTCTGACTATTGATCTTTGTAATCTACAAAATTTGAGGATTCGAGTAAGTGGGACTTGGCCCCAAGAGACCACCTCACAATACTTAAGACTTGCACTCCCCTCGGGATACAGTGCATGGGAGCACGAGTTGTTTCAAAGACTATGCACATACGCGTTATGACTGACATGGATGTGTAGGTGCCGGTCCTTATAAAATGGAAAAACTTTATGCAATATTTGAAAGTGGAATACCATATTGATTATGTGCGTAACAAGTGAGCAATAAAGAATAACCCAGGATAAAAAAAAACATTATGCAGAAATTCATCAAGGGATACCGGGCTCCGTTAAAATAGGAAAATTGCCAGAGAATTGGTGAACTTTAAATGGACCTAAATCCATCCATTGATGTATAAGCACAACCGCAAAAAGGATGATACCTACTTCTGAAGCTCCCCCACTGCCAAAATGTTATGCATCGACCAACCATGATTGTTGCTCCCTTAAATGGTGACAAGCAGGAGGAGGCGGATGAGAGAGAGTGCCACAAAGACGAACATGTGGGTTCAACCGCCAACAACATCTGTGTTGAGACGTATCATGATCGCTGGTGAGGATGTGTCACATAGATGCCAAGCAATCAAGAATGGTGTCAAGCAATCAGGTTTGACTCCTTATTCAGGGTGGACTTCCAGTTCTACCAGATTACACTCCAGATGTGGCAAGCAACTGGAAGAAAACAAACATTTTGAAGGGATGTTGTATTTGGGTTCCAACAATCCTCTTTTCTCTTGGGACCAAAACGTCGACCCGTTGTCCTAACACCTATATCACTGGTCATAATACCCATAGACTAGGTTCGACTGTTTGGCTACACTATCATATCATTTCACAACCTGGCAATCAGTCCTTTGGGGTCTCCCAGAGCAATCATGGTTGTTGAATGCTATAAGGCACCAACCAGTGGTTAACGGAGTAAAAATGCTGAAATTTTGGACCTCCATTGACCACCTCTCCATCTGCAAGAAAAGTCCATGTTGCTTTTGTCGATGTCGGCGAAGTAACTATTGTCAAAAGTTGTGCAGGTGTACTTCGATAGTTCAAAAGCAAACACAATGGTGGGGTATGTAGCACTCCATCCCTCACAATCAGACTGAACATGGAGTTGTCGTGCAGATGGAGAGGTGGTCGATGGAGGTCCAAAATTTCAATTGTTAACCATTGGCGTCTTCGAGGGCGGGTGTGGGAGGTGATACGAGCATCCCCCCGTAGCCCCCTTAAAGAGCGCTACTAAACTGGGTCCAACGGTCGCTTTTTACAATCATCACCCAAACTATACTCAAAGTTTATCCGGGGTCATTACCCAACTTTGGCTACCTTCGGAAGTTATATGAGGTTAGAACCCATATCCCATACCTAGTTCATTGATCTTTCCATCGCCCCATGGGTAGGGCCTGAGGGGTAGAGGGACATCATGTCCCTCCTGGATCCGCCCACGGGGGCGAGGACTCGTAATCCGTACCACGACCTTTCCACCATCATTTTGTCGTGTACGGGGAAAGGGGTTGGGAAAAACCTAGTGATCTTAATGAGAATTCTACATCGTTGCAGGTCAAGTTATTGAAGGGCATGCAATAGTTTCTTTTACTCCTCCCCAATTCGTTGTCTCCTCTGTCCCTTAACACTCCACTTTTACCACCCATCCCCCTGTGCCTCCCCCCAACCATTCCTCGCAGAAGGTGGCGATCTCCTTTCTGATGTCCGCTGGCGTGTGTAGCGTTCTCAGGTTCCTTTCAACAACCCCCCATCTGGCCAGGATTTGATTATGAACCTGTTGTTTAATCTGCTCCCTCACCTCGTTCCACTCCACCCAAACATCCTCCCACACGAGGACGTACATGCGCCACAACGATGCCCAAAGTACCACTCTTCTGGCCACCATGAATATATTACCTATGAACCCGCTTTCTTGGCTCTTTGGCCAATATCCCCCTAGAATGGCTCACCACTCCCATGGCTAGTGGCATCCCCCAATCATCCTCCTCCATATTCGGTCCCACCACTTCCATGTAAACACTGTCATGAAACATTGTAGATATGTGATAAATTGTTCTATTATTTTCCGTAAGGGAAACATTGGCGGACAACCCTCACAATAGGGGCTGGCGATGCCCTTTTGTTGCAGGGAGGTATTGCCGATCAACCATCCGTTTGTGATCAACCACCTGTGTACGATCTACGATGCCAACAAAGTTATTTTAGTTGACTTCTTCTTGGTATCCTGGAGCCATTTGATCGATTTGAAATGCTTTACCCACCGCTCGATAATCATATCCCACAAATTTTGTACACGACTTCTACATTCATATTCCCCAATGATCGCCTTTTGCGGGCACAAATTGACTAGTATGGTTGTAATGCCCACTGCTCCTTTCCTTTCCTCACCACCCAAACTCAATAAGCTGTGTATCTTTTGAATGGAGAACGGACGAAATTCAACGACCGTTCATCCGTTTAACGGGCCCCAAGACCCCCGTTAAATCATGTTTAACGCAAAAACGGGGGCTTGGCGTTGAATTCCGAAAAACGGAATTCTCGCTTTGGGCCTCGGACACGTGTGCCTACGTGCCCGAACACTTAAACCTGAAAAAAAAAATAAAAAAATTCACCCCCCTTTGACACCCCCCCCCCAACACTCCTAAAGGACCGAAAAACCCCTATCTGACCCAGAACACACCACCCGACCCCTCCCCCCAACCTGCACATTCCCACCACGACCCCCAAC